AAAAAAACACAAGAAGACAATTTGAAGAACATGCGGGACGATTAAAAACATTATTTTACAGGTGCGGTTCTCTGATGGTTCTGAATAATGAAAGATGCATTGCCTGCAATACAAAGTACTTTTTTTGGGGGAAATCGTTTCTGACTGAAAACGTAAGATTAAAAGTCATCTGCTTAATTACAGCCATTTACAAGTCAACTATCGGGCAATGCAGAATCATTTTCTGAGTGTAAACAACCTAATCACTGGATTTAAACCTTTATCTTCCGAGAACGTCCTTCTTTACCTCATATTCCAAGAATATTAAGTGAATACAATTATTGCAAAAGAAATTGAATATTCATTGCCTACGGCTTGGTAGTTTATAACGATTAACAAAAACTTAAACTTTTGTGTCTAAGATATAACAATATTTAAATATTTACAAATATTATTTGAGATTTAATTGGAGCCTCACCAGTTGCCTAACATTTGAAGATTGTTAAAAACTAATTGTTTGTTGCGAAGTCTAACCCAGGCTGCATGGCTGCTTTTCGTAGTTCTGTAGGTTCTCTTTACAAAGGTTATCTATGAAAGCATTTTAATCAAATAGCTCCCATGTTCTTCCTATGTTCAAATAACCAACTAATCTAGTTTAAGCGTGATTTCCAAGTAAAGTTACTAGCAAAACCCGAATACTCATTAAAAATCATATAGCTTGCCAATCGTGAGTAACATGAAAGATACGGCGCCAATAATTGAATGGCTGTTTCTAAACTTAGATGGTCATTCCTTAATTAAATAGCCCACCAGCGGCCGAGCGGTAAAGACGCTGATCACTGGTAGTTCGGTCCGAGGTTCGGCCTGGCTGCATGGGTGTTTTCGTGGTTTTCCCCATATGTAACGTGTATACAAGCCAGTTTCCTTTAGAAAGTCCTCCACGAAGGCATCCCTCCCTTTAGGCAGATAGCCCTCGTGTGCTTTGCCATAATTAAATAATCCAATCCAATCCAATCTTTAATTAAATATAATTGATTTGTAACTTCTACTAGAACTGACGTTAAGAATTGAAGTGCAAATAAATAATATCGCGTGCAGTCTTGATTAATATAAAATTAAAAATATTGCATTCAGACAGAAAGTTTTTTGAAATATTTGCAATTACTTTATAAAAAGGATTTATTAATAACCGTAATAATTACTTATTATATACTGATGATAGGATTCAGTTCTTGACAATTACATTCTAAATTAGAATTTTATGGAATTATTAGAATTTTAAATTAATGAAAATACGATACGCATAAAAATACATTTTAGGATAAAATATGAGTTGATTTTTATGTTTAAAAACTTCTTAAATTCATTTAATAAGCATCGTACCCTCGTTGTTAATTAAATCCAGAATTTGGGTGCCGTTTATATAATTATTCTTACTTGTCCACAGAACCTGCTGACCTATCCAGCGATTAAGTAGCTGCAGATCATTCCTACATAACCATTGAAATTGCATTAATTCGGTCTCTAGAGGGTTGTATGCTTATATCATAATTTGACTTTTATAAAAAATGATTATTCTAAATCTTATGTTTCTATAAAAATATACTGCGCTTTAAAAATATGGATGATAGTACCAGCCGCTCTTTCAGCCACTTCAAAACATCAGTTTTGTTTAGAAATAAATTGTGCAGTTAATGTCATAAAATTCAAATAAACATCAAACAAAAATTCTCAGTTTTAGACAATTCGATTTAAACAAAGTAAAGTAGCAGACGATTAAAACGCCGAGGTAAAATTTACTCTTATTTAAAAAAAAAGCTAGAGAGAAATTAAAAAAAAATATTAAAAAATTTATTTAAAAAATAGCTTTTATATAGTATTAATAATATTTTATTGCATCTTGAGGGAAGAAATGACATATAATTAATTCTCCGTAAAATTTTACGTGAAATTTAAGGTTAAAAATAGCTGTGGCAATACAGTGTAACAAAATCCATAGACCACATTTGGCGTTATTATCGCTCAAAAAAAAGTGCCAAATTTCAAAATGCGAAAATATGTAAATTTGTGTATATCTTAGAAAATTTTGAATAAAAAAGTCTAATTTTTTGGCAGATGATAAGATGATAGTAAAAATTTTATAGGTTATAATCAAAAATTTTTTCGAAAAAATTATAAAAATTATTTAAAAATAGAAATTTAAAAAATAAAACACAAAAAAGGGTAAATTATATTTGAATGAACCTAAATTTTCGAAATGTGAGAGAAAAAATCAAAAAAGTTTAATAAAAAAAGAGATATAAATAAATATTTGCCAAATTCAATTAACATCGAGGAGCTAAAATTTTGAGAGCATATATTTTAAAAACTACTCTTACGATTTTCACAAAACTTGGTATTCTGGCATAATTTGAGTCGACGAATCGAAATATGTAAAAAAATTGGTATGTTATTTCAGAAAAAGTCCGATTTTGTGTCAAAATACCTATGTTAGAATAGTGTTATAATATAAATCTAATATATATCCTAAGTCGCGCTTTCGAGACATGAAGAACGCAATTTGAATTTCGTGAATCGCCCTAGTAGAACGGGAGATATAGCACTGTCCATTTTTTTTTTTTAGCAGTGTACATTATAAAGGAATAAAATTATAACTATAATAATAAAATTATAACCAATCCGTTGCAACTTTTCCATCAAATCATCTATCTTATTACATATACAGTACAACATCTTTAATCCGGAATGATCTATAATCGGAACCTCAAAGCTACAAACTTTCTGTGCATGTGTAGCATTTACACATGCACATATGCATTAACGCATGTGTATAATACCTTTACGCAGGCACATATGCGTTTACACATACGCATAATACGTTTATGCATGCGTGTTTAATGTAGAATGGATGGTATAAGCTTGGCTAAAATTATCTAATTATCTATTTCAGTTAATGTTGCAGATTGCATTGTTCCGTAATCTTCTAATTGGATTCGGCTTATTATATTTTGCAGACTGTTAGGGCAATTTTATAAAAAGTAAGCTTTAACTTTCGATTATGTCAAAAAGAGTTTCCGATTCTGGAGCTGCCAAAGGATCTACAAAGCGAAAGCATGTTTCGACGTCCATCAAACAAAAAGTGGAATTGCTGCAAAAAATGGATAAAGGCTTGAAGAAAGTAACAGAGAGGTTAGTGAAAATGAAAAAATTTCGTTTGACAAGTTAGTCGGTATTCTCGGCACAGCAATTACAGGACTTGAACAGCAGAACTTTGTAACTGAACAAGAAATTATGACTGTTTATAGAATTAAAGAGAAAGTGTTAGCACATAAAACGAAGCAACTTACATTGAAAGAAATGTTTAATAAAGTAAACAATTAAATATTAAGCTTTTTTTTTTGTAAATTTTGATATCCTTTAGATCATAATTGCTCTTTATTTCATAAATTACGGTTTCATATTTTTAATTTTATAATTTCTGCATGCCATCTTACCAGATTTAAATTGATGATCTATAATCTGGAATCGCCGAAGTCCCGACGAGTCCAGATTAAAGACTTTGTACTGTATATATTTTTTGTTAAAAGAAACGTGCGAATTAATAACTAAACTTTCAAATATTTATTAGTAAGTGTGTAAAGTTAATCATTATTAAAAATACATTTTTATCATTTAAAAGGTGTTTTTACTGTTGAGAAAATCTCCTGAGTTTTTAGTGTCCTAGTTTGGGAAGTATGTGTGCATGTGTTGGGCAGTGGAGATGATCCTTTGAATAAACTTGTCTAGTAATTTTTCATCCATTCTTATCATTTTATAAAATACTGTCATTTTGCTGCTGCTGCTTCAGTAATTCATTTGATGATTAATTCTGATCTGTAAAGAATAAAGCACTTCAGTTGAAATGTTAAATATTCATAAGTTGTACTGTCTGACTTTCATAGGTTAGTTTATTTCAATGTATTTGATTACGGCAAAGTGTGCAGAGGCTGTCTGCCTCAGGGAAAGAATGTCATTATGGAAGACTTTCTAAAGGAAGCTGGCATGTATCCACATTAAGTGTGGGGGGAAAGCTCAAAAATGCCAGTGCAGTCAGCCCGTTTACATGAAATTGATACCAGAGTTCAGCTATAGTGTGGTCCTGGTTTGCATAGGAAATTCGATACATCTCTTTTATAACAGAAAATATTATGTTTCTTCATGTTTTTTTTTGTATGATTAGATGTATAAACCTAGAATTTTTGGAACATTTTTCTAAACTAAATTACAGAGTTACAGAGCCGCTAATATCTCACGAAAGAAAAAAAAAAAAAAAGAAAAAGAAAAATCCTTTAATCGTACACAAGCGATAAATCACTAAACATCACACTTTTTTATTTCTTAAGTTTATGAAAAATATTTATTTAAAATAAAAGAAATTTTTTATATTGTTTATAATGCTGGTTTGTTGTGTTATTGGCAAAACTTGAACCCAGCATTTTCTATGGAGAAATGTTGAGCAGTTCGTACTGTTTCAGAAAATGCTGTCACCTGTAGTGTGAAATTTACCATATAAGAATTGCTCTTCCTGCTCATCTTTCATGTAAAAAATAAAATGACAGAAAATAAGACTAGCACAAATACCACAGATTGTATAAGAGACAACAAATGACAATAAAGAAGACAATAAAGAAATGACAATAAGAGACAATAAAGAAAATGTGCACAACTATGGATAGGATTACCAAAGTTCGTTAAGGACAACCAACAGCAATAGTATCATTGCTAGCTTCTAGGGTTTTACAGTGGTTTGATTGGAAAATACTCCACCTGTTTTACCTGTTTGGCAATAATTTTACCGTCATGGGGATACCTTTGAATGTTACAGAATTTTTCCCCTTTCAGATTTATATACAGGCTTTGAATTTTGGGTAAGTTTTTGAAGCAAAAATGTACTCTAGTCTTATACATGAATTGGCTTATATTCAGAAATGTATGGTGTATGTATTTTTAAATTAATAATTTAGATATTTAAATGTTGAATAATGTGGATATCTAAAAGATTTAAAATTTTTATAAGCTCTCATTTATTTTTATAGAAATTTGAGTCTGTGTACCAGGAACATTTGCGGAGTGGCACCGTTACTCCTAGGGAGCAGTTTGATTATGCATGGTGCTTAATTCGTAGTAAATATCCCACTGATATCCGGAGAGGTGTAGTTTTATTAGAAGGTAGTTCATGTTTTTTATGCTTTTTAAAATCTCAGTTCTTTTTTATTTTATCTAAAAGAATAGTAAATTAATCAAAATTTACTATTCTTTTAGATAAATAAGCAGTAGTATAGATAAGAATAGTAAATTTTTGTTAATTTACTGTTCTTGTTTAAAATGACTATAATAAATTGGGGGGGCTTTGAAAACTAAGCACTATCTAAAAATTTTAGGAATTATCTATAATTTGCTCTTTTATTGATTGACTGACTGCTGTATTTTCTGTATATTATTCAGTTATTTTACTTCTGATTTTCTTGCTCAAAATGGTTCAGATTAATGAAGTAGTTTAGTGGGTTCTTTAATCACTAGCTCAATATTATTCACCAGTAAAATTATTTTTAAAGTACTTCTGTTTAACATTTATGAAGAAAATTTGATTGATCTTTAGATTATGGTAACTTGGCGATTTTTTGGCGAAAATTTGGCGACCAACTCTGCTACAGCAACCCTCTATTTTTTTTTTTCTCCGCCATTTTGTCTTCATGAAGTAAAGACATGTTTCTTTTCTTTTTATTTACTGAACACTTTTTCCAACAATCTACTAGCCGAATTACACTTATGCTAGAAATTTTATGTAACAAAACTGCTTAATCATGACAATATTAACTGCAAAATTGGGAAAAAGTGCACAATCGCAAAACTCCTTGCGCTATTTTCAGAATAGCCACATACACAAACCTTTTAACGTCGACTTATTTTTACTTAAAAAAACATCCCAGAATTGCACAAAAATGGCATTGCACACACTCTTAACTTTATCCATCTACACTGCTATTTTCTCATAAATTAAAAAAATTTGCACGAAAATGCAAAAAAATTCTGTGAATCTTTAAACTCGGTAAAAAGCACGTATATGAAATTACCTGAACGCGAAAAAGTATATACCCTTGTAGAGTCATTAGGATTTTTTTTGAGGCCAGCAAGATAAAAAATTAGCAAACGCCTTCGCCGGGAATCGAACCACGGACCTCTGAAATACCGGCTCAGTGTGCAGAACCACTACACCACGAAGGACGCTAGGAAAGTGGGAGAAATACCTTATATACTCCCCTTTTTAAAGGGCGACTAGGGTTTTAGGGGACCTAGTCATCAAATCCTGGGTGCGGAGAATCATCATCCACAACCCGTTTAGTTCGGGCGCCACTTGTAGAGTCATTAGGATTTTTGTTTAGGCCAGCAAGATGAAAAATTAGCAAACGCCTTCGCCGGGAATCGAACCACGGACCTCTGAAATATCGGCTCAATGTGCAGAACCACTACACCACGAAGGACCGCTAGGAAAGTGGGAGAAATACCTTATACCCTTTCCAAGGATGAACATTTCCACGTATAAAATAAATAAAATATCCAAACACTTTTACCTCTAAATTATCTATTGTATTATAAACGTTACCAACGAATTCATACCGCAAACATTACAAATGGTTACAAATACTTAGTGTCAAATATTTAAATTATTTCCATGCATGTTTACTTCAGCTGAAACGTATACCAAATTCCTACAAACATAAAATTCACAAAATAACTATCATTTAATTAAAATATCATAAACCATGTACACGTCAACTTATTTTACTTAAAAAAAATCCCAGAATTGCACAAAAATGGCATGTGCACACTCTTCACCATATCCATGTGCACTGCTTTTTGTCATAAATTAGAAAAAATTCACGAAATGCATGAAAATTTTGTGAATCTTTAAACCGGTAAAAAGAACATATATGAAATTACTGATCGCGAAAAAAGTATATACCCTTTCCAAAGATGAACATTTCCACGTATAAAATAAATAAAATATCCAAAAACTTTACCTCTAAATTATCTATTATATTATAAACGTCACCAACGAATTCCTACCTCAAACATTACAAATGATTACAAATACTTAGTGTCAAATATTTAAATTATTTCCATGCACGTTTACTTCCACTGAAACATATACCAAATTCCTAAAAACATATAATCACAAAATAACATCATTAATTAAAATAAATAAAATTCAAACCACTGCTTAAAATATAAATAAGCACATAACATTAAATTAATAAAAATTAGCTTACAATCCTAATTACTTTAAAACTAAATCATGATAATAACAATTTTCCAATACTACCATATTACTTTATTACTCCTCACATTTTAGAACAATGCATAAAAAATATTAAATAATTAAAAATACTAACTTACCTAATCTTCTTCAGAATCTTGATTACGTGTCCGATAAACTTTTCTTATTTCCTCTGCTAAATAAAAAGCAAGCGTATGTGCACCTGTTTCAGGATCTTTAAAATCATACTTATAGTTCACAGCAAGGTATACCAGGTAAAATAAATAACTTAATAAAACATCTTTACTTCTATCTCGCACAACCTTAAAAAAACACCCCCTTCAATCCCACTAAATACCCATTTCGAATTCACTTTAGTTAGGGCCATGGGATCCAAAAATTAACTGACGCTGTTTGACACAACACAGAATAAAGCTAAATACAAAATTTCCAGATTTTTTCCAGAATCCCCCTTTTCCGATTAAAGAACTGTAATTCGTCCATTAATGTCACATGACATATCTCATGATCTCTCATTTCCCTCACACAAAATAATGCGTAATCGGAACTGAGTACTTCTCACATTATTACCAAAGTCCTAGGTCCTTTATCGCCTCCAAAATGTTGCCAAACTACCAGTTACCATATTCCAAAGATCAGCCGAAAATTTTTATAGCAAAATGACTATTTTAATTGTTTATGTATATTCAGATTCTTGGATAAAATAACTCTATAAGACTTCTTTCCCTGATATGTAGATTGTTCTAGTCTCAGAATATCTCATAATAGTTTACAGAAACATATATGTATGGAATAATTCTTTTCAGTTTTCTTGTATTTGCATATTTGCTAATAATAAGCATTTATAAAACAAAATAATGTTGTTAAATGGGTATTGTCATGAAAGTTCTTTTTTTGTGTAATAATTTGTTCATCTTTGTACCTTAGCTTTTTGTATTTAGTATTTCTGTTTGATAACGAGGTAGTCATTTTCATTTCAGGTTTATTAATTTTCGTATATGTGTTTAGAGGGTTGTACTGAAAGTTATTCAAAATTTGCCCGACTCTCTTTTTTAAATTTTCATAGATTAAACTCCACTTATTGTTGGAGTAACATAGACTTCAATGACCTGCATATGAAAATATTACTCGGTGAAGGCTACATTACAAATAATTTATTTGCATCAAATCTCAAATCCCGTTAAAAAAAATTAAGGTGTGTACTATTAGCTACTTCTTTAAAGTCACTTTATGTCAGTACATCAACTTCATAGATTATCCTTCATCTGACTGAATAAACAAATTTCGATTTTTACATTGAATGATATAATAAACAATCATTATTACTATAATTTAAGATTTAATATCCAGAACCCTGTGTATCTGCATTTACAAAGTATTAATTTCATTTTCACTGTAATGTACACTCATATCCAAAATTATCTTTACATGCATGAAATTACAGATTCATCCAAAACTGGAAACTGTAATTTTATGTGTTGAATGATAAATAAATACAAAGAGAAGATTTTTAAGAGCACTGCACATGAAATAAAACAGTGGCATGAAACAATAAAAATGGTAATAATATGTTACCAGGCAAATGAAAAAAAAAAAAAACTCGGAAAAAAAATTAAAGGCTTTTGAATTTATTATGGAATTTGATATCCCTGACTAGTATGCACGTGTCAGAATGTGTTTTCATACTAGCAATTACGTTTTTAACCCTTGTTTGGAGAATTAAGTTTCACTTCCTCAGTATTATAGTCTTCAGGCCATTTACATCTATCTCTAGGAGGATTATGTCTCTGTGCAGCTGCTTTTCCATAGTCTCATAAGTTCTCTATTTAGTTGAAGATCAGGAGATTTTGCTGGCCATGGTATTCATTTAGTGTCTTCAGTTTCAAGGAATTCATTAACAAGATTTGCTTGATGTGGATAAACATTATCATCCATAAATAAAAAATCAATTCCATATGCAACTGTGAAAAGTCTTATATAAGCCTCTAAGACCTTGTGCCAATACGTCTAGCTGGTCTCAGATCCACTGCTGAAATGTATAGGGATGTATGTTTTATCGATCATTATTTCTCCCTTCACATCTGCATTACCAAAACATCATGTTCCTTAATGCTCGAGGGAAGATTTCACATTTATGACTTCCTTCAGATGTAAAGACATTTAAAATGAAATATGAAACTAAACCTCAACTTATCAGTAAAGAGAATGTGGGACCACTGGTCTTCACTCCAGTTCTGATGTTCTTTGCACCAATTAAAGCAATCTCTGAAGACAGTGAAGCAAATACGAGGGCTATCCAGAAAGTAGATTACGTTTTGGAATAAAAAAATAAACAAAGTATAGGAAACAAATTTTATTATATACAGATGAAAGCCACACTCAAATACTACTTTTCTACATAGTCACCATACAAATTATGGCATTTATCATAGCGATGTACGAGCTTGGAAATTCCTTCGTCGAAAAATTCGGCCGCCTGCGCCTTCAACCACTTCGTTACCTCTTCTTGCAGCTGAGCGTCGTCATCAAAACGCTGCATAGCCAGCCACTTCTTCATTGCTGGGAATAGGTGGAAGTCGCTCGGTGAAGGTAGGACTGTACGGCGGAGGGAAACAACTCCCACTTAAAAGATTCAAGAACTTTACGAGTGACGTTTGCCGTGTGTGGCGGGCGTTGTCGTGAATCAACAAGATCTTAGAGCTCAACATTCCTCTGCGCTTGTTTTGAATTGCTCTTCTGAGTTTTGGAGAGTTTGGCAATACCTTTGAGAGTTTATTGTAGTGCCTCTTTCCAGGAAGTCCACCAAAATTACACCTTTTCTGTCCAAAAAACAGTCGCCATATCTTCCTTGCCGACATTGTTTGCATGCATTCTTGGGTTTTTGGGGGAG